TGAGTATCCATCTGATGAAAATATGGATATGGACATGGATAAAGAAAGTGGGTATTGACTCGGAATTTCTTGAAATCGAGGACCCAATGCATACGCAAGTATCCATCTGACATGCACATGTGTACAAGCATGCAAACAAACACATATGCCACCAACAAAACTGTACGCACTAAAATGTCTAAACACTTATCATAAAGGACAGAACATCCTTTATACAAACAACACAATTACCCCATGGCTAGGTTGAGGCTCCATCTCTGAATTTGGGGTTCTAAAAGGTACTCTTTAATAAGGGATATACACCAATGGAGTACATTTCTGTAAGAGCTATGAGAATGAAAAACAACATCACATGACAATCATCTAATTTAATTGTAAAAGGGAACATCATCATGGTCTTATGGTAGCTAATGGAAAGCATATAAAACAAGAATAAACAGGGTAAGAGACTGTTAATCAATATGAAGAATACAATTGAAAATTTCAACAATCCTCCTTCACCAATATTTTTTGATGTAACCCCCCCTTCACCATTATAAGTCTACAGAAACAAAGAAACCTCTAACTATTCACATCTGCAATGCCATTGCATCTCGCAGTTGAACATTGTCTTCGTGATCATTTGGTCCCTGAATTGGTTGTGAATATCATCTACCTTCCGCCCCCTCCGCCTATTCTCTTTCAACCCTCTGCCGGAATCGCATCTCCCACCAACTATTCGCTCCTCGTGAAATCATGATGTAGTTATGCAAAATCGACATTGCAATATATTCTTTCCCATTTCATTACTCCTTTTTTTTTTGGGTAAGTCAGTGGGGGAGAAGGCCTTCTACCCTTTTTTTGTTAATATAAAATTAAAATAGTAACAACTCATTATTTTACGACCCTATAATAAGGCAGTTGCACTAAATCATCAAGTAAAAGCAGGGAAATAAAGTTTGGTAGTCAGGAGCACCAGATAGTAGCTCTAAAACTAAAAGAAAAAGGGTAAGTCGTTGGGGATTTGGGCCCCTACCCTTTGGTGAGAATGGAGTCAGAGATTTCATCATGGGGCTCAGCAGTACTACCATCAAGGGCCCAACCCATTCTCAAAGGTGTTTTTGACAAGGTTACATAAGAATGAAACTTGATACATTGGGCTATCAAAACCTAACCTCTAGACGTTGGCCCATTTCATTACTCCTTGGTTGCTGTATTTTTAACTCATACAAATAGGTCGCGAATGGCCTCATTAAAGACATTGAGGTTGGCTATCGTTTGATACAACTACTTTATGAACAAGAGCAAAACAAACTTCTGTCGAATATCGGCTAGCAAAGATTTTTACTACAAATATAACCAAATCACACCATCAGTTTCTACTTAAAAAACTTGTGCTCTTACATCCTATAACACAGATCAAGGTTAAGAGTTGTTTCTAACACGCTTTTCCTATTTATATGCATAGCATTATATGTATTGCCCATAAGACATTATATTCTTATAACATGTAAATTAGATTATCTTGGCTTTTTTGTATTTGCTTATGGGTAGTTTGGTCACTATTCATCGTAACATGGCATATATGAAGGTTTTGAAATACCATATATTTTAATGAAGCTTTCCCCTCAAGTGGAGGGTTTCCATTATTCTCTTTATCTCTCTTTCATGTTCATCTTCAAGCGCATTAGGTTGTCACTAACACTTATTCCCAAAAATGCAAACAATGGTTACAAAAAGAACTGCTGAATATTGCTCCAATTGTCCTCTAAACATAATGTCTCAAGAGTACATCAATTAGAAGAATCAAGGTTTTGAGCTAGAATTGTAGGTTTGACTCATGATAACACAGCAATTCAGAATCTAGCTAGTAAAAGTGACTCCAACTTACAAAAGAACTAATGGCGTGTAGGCAACTTAGTCATGAGGCTTTTAACAAACTCCCCCTGAATAGAAATTTTGAACAGTCTTTTTGTATTTAGAAAATAACAGAATGGAAAAAACAAAACAAAAAGGGCCATATAAAGTCAGTTATGGAGAAAAGCAGATAAAAATACAATGTTTAAAATATATCTCCAAGGATGTGAAATTCCAACATCCAGTAATCACTTACTGCAAAATTGATCACATCTCATGAGGTCTGGCAATGTTTACAAAGTGAAAAGAATCAGACCACCTCAAGTTGTTATCGCACCACTTGATTGACATAAAAGTCGAGGAATGACAAACCACGTAAAAATTTGATAGTCTATTAATATTTAGAATGAAAATGTATGCAGAGAAAGAAAACAAAGGGAAGAAAAATAGGCTATTCAAAGTCAACTAGAGACAAGTGGATGAAAGGCCACTGCTTAATATTAAATCCTAACATCTAGTAATCATTTACAATGAGATTGATACCCTCACACAATGTTTGGGAATGCCAATTGCGTGCAAAACAACAGTACCTAAATGATAGATAAATGTATTATTTTAAATTTTTTAATGGTTTTGTTGACACAAGGAAATTCCTAAAATAAATGGCAATATATTGTATCTAACCCAGGTCCCAGATATCAAGTCATGCTTAAAAAGTAACCATTAGGGATCTAAAGCAATGGGTACAGAGATTAAAAAAGCATCAGAAAAAATTCAAGTTTCTAAAATAGAAAGCAATCTCTTATCAACAACCTTAGCCCAACAACCTTAGCCCCAATTCATGTTTAAAATCTGGACTTCCAGGTTTTCTGCAAAATATAAGAAGCATCTGCTCCTCTCCGGATGATGTAGGAACAAAAAAATTTAATAGGGAATTGAAATGAAGTTCTGTGTAACAATCATCAAGCAATCCTACATGAATATGTTATGAAGGAAATTATCATATTTGCACCAAATGAAAGAAAATAAAAAGTCAAACCTGCAGCAATTGCCACATCAACAATATCCTTGAAACGATGTGAATCTAGCTTTTCATCAGAACATATCATCCAACTAAAAACTCTGCATTAACATTTTTCAGATGATCAACGTCATTCAGTTGACAAAATTGCATGGAAAATCTTAAGAGAACTTAATTATCAAACCCAAAAGGAAAAGAGGATCCATGTAACAATGTTCTTACTTGTCCATATTGCCCTTGCATTTCTTGTACAATTCCTTCAAGTCCACCTTCTCTGTTTCAGATCCTCTATAATTAGCTTCAAATTCTTCAATATCTTCTTCAGTAACCTATTAACAACATGGACAATACAATTACTGTGCATCAAAATTCATGAACTATGAGAAGGAATTAAAATAAAGGGGGCAAAATTGAAGGGGGAGAAAAGAAAGAGAATGTGAAAAACTGGACCTAAAGCTAAGGAAAAGGATGATAATGCAAGGTAGTATATCGGTCACCTTCTGGTATATTGTCCTGAAGTACTCATACAAACTTTCAACAGCAGCACCACCAAGCTCCTGGAAAAATTTAAATGAGAAGAGCAAGTAGGTCACAGATTATTATAAAAGAAAAATCCAGTGGGTCATTTTACCAATTACAAACACCAAAAAAAATTATTACAAATTTAAAACAATAATGACCCATCATAACCCAGTTAATAATAACTCACAGCATCATCCACACAACCAGTCTGATCATACAGTGCCCTTTTCTCTGGGTCTCCGAGAATTGATATCACCTTCTGCAAGAGTTGAAACTTCTCTTTGGCATCCTGAAAGTAGAATCAGAAAAACCAATGATGTAGCTGGGAGTAAAATAAGAAAGGTAGCAGAGTTTTACATCTGTAAAACCAAGTACTTTGAAGGACAAAGTACGCACCTCATTGCCAGGATTTTTGTCTGGATGAAGACGCAAAGCCAATTTATAATATGCCTTCTTAATTTCCTGTTGTGATGATGTCCTTTCCAATCCAAGTATCTAAAGACAATGATGCATTAAATCATTAAAAAAAAAAAAGGGCATACGAGATAGGATCTAGACCCAAAAATTAAATGTATTTACCAAAACTACAAAATTAACAATAGTAATACAACTCGTGGTCCTGTGCAAACCAAAATTATCTTTAAAACCTAATCTATCCCACTTTCATATTTCATGTAAACAGTGAAACTCTTGAGTCACACGCTATCTTTGTCCCATCTTTGCATGTACCTCCTCCTGTTCTTCCATTTCGTTTCCTTTCTCTTCTTACTTAACTTTTATGATGCGACCAAACATTCAACAGGAGTCATGGACTCTGTTTTCTTAACTGCTTCATTACAGCTCTTGTAATCAAATGTTTTTTGTTTCCTTTTTCTTTTCCTTGAATCAAACTGAAACCCATCCTGAACAATGGATTATGGAGATTGGATTACAGCGTCTTCTTTTTCTTATATTTCCTTTTCCCCAAAGTTATACTCTTTGGGGGTTAAGTTGCTCTCAATTCATATCCACAGACAAGTAAAACAAAATGAAATCATTAGTTTTCACTTCAAAAAAACTGATCACTAGTGACCATTAATCATATCGACTAAGGGGAATATGCCATGAGATATCATGAATTACGCTTGTAACAGGACAGACATTTTGCACTGGATGAGCTTGGCTAAAGAAAATACCAATCCATGAGCAATTATTCTTCTTTATTAACAGAAATCAATAAACCAATTTCCATGCACATAAATCCTATTATTTCTTACCTAAAATACGCACCAAATATGATCAGATAATGAGAATGGAAGCCTTAGAATATTAAGTCATGCCAGACAATAATTGTTTCCTTTTTTTTTGAAGTATCATGCCAGATAATAATTTATCAAACATAAACCCTAAAAATAGGCAAAAAGCTGCGAATAAAGTCCAGAAGAACGACTAGTTCATGGAAAAGTACAAGGAAAAAGGCCCTGAGGATCATGAAGATTGGGGATAGAGAAGCTTGCCTCGTATAAACTCTTCTCTTTGGTGCCAGAATTGGATGCCTCTTCTTGAACTGCTTCCTCTGTTTCCTCTTCCGAAACCCTAGGTTTCTTCTTCTTACCCATTTTTAAGCAAAAATAAATAAACACAAATTTCCTCTGGGGAAATGTATCCTCTCGCAGAAATGGGGGTCGGCGAATGAACAAAACCTGATAAGATGACTGATGACTTTCCCTATATAAAAGGCTTGGCCTTATTTCCCTCCATTTTTATTTATTATAACTTTTAGTTTGTTTCTTGGCGGGAGTACATCTGAAGGTAGAGAGGGAGAGAGGCGGGAGTATACGCACAGGGAGAGGAGAGAGAAAGGAGAGGTCGAGAGAGCGGGATGTCTCCCTGCAGCATAGAAGTTCGATCTTTCACCTTATCCAACCGTTCATTCTGGGATAAGATTGTTTCAATTACGAATGTTATGTCTCTATATTATTTTATGTTTAATTATTTTAAAAAATTATTTTGATATCAAATTTTGGACGTTCATTTTTGTATTAAACTTACACTAACAAAAAATATAAAAAATATATTTTTAATAAAATAAAATGATCAAAAGACCTTTAAAAGTTTCAAATGATATTTTAGTTATTATATTTTATTGCAAATTTATTTTTTACAGGTGCACCCAATGAGAAGATGATACATACCAAATTTTATATTTATACAATTTTTATAAAAAAAACTAAAAATAAAATTTGAGACGTCGGATCTAAGATCAAACGGTGAGTAGTTCTTTTGATCAAAATTTAATGGCTGGATGGTAGGAGGAGGATAGAACTTCTATGCTGTAGAGGAAGCATAGAAACCTTTTCCAATAGAGAATGGTAAGCAAGTTGACGAATAACAATTTAATATAATTATATTAATAATTTAATATAATGAGACTATTTATCTTTGGTACCATGTGGTCACAATTGATTTTGACTACTAGATGTGACATAGGGTAGCTACATTTATTTTATTGACCAAGCTCAAAGTCAAAAATTAATTTTTTCGAACTTTATGACACATCCAAGCTATCAAATTTGACATCGGATGGTTATAAATAGTTGTGGCCTCCATGTATGAAATGTAAATGATCTCTTTGTATACAACCCCCTTAAAATATCAATAATTGATTTTGTTCTAATAATTGAAAGCTAAAAAGTCAAATAAAAAATATAGATCGCTAAAAATTAGATAAGTAAAAATATTATAAATATTCTGAATTGACTAAAAAAGACAGTGAAAATTTATATACGTAAAGATGACGCATGATAAGATTATAATTTGTAGCTGTTCTATAAATACATTAAAGCCATCGAACAATAATTTTATCTCCTTACTATGATGAGGATAATACTTGATAAATTTTTGTCTAAATTAAATACAACAATAATACTTGATCTATTGTCACGACACAAAATATATAACCTATTGTGGGCATAGAGTTAAACAACAATACTAAACATAATAACCCCATTAGTAAATAACAAGAACGGTAACCCAATGCACATTATTATTTTAAAAAAACACAAAAGACCGTTAATATATAACTAGCGGTAACTAAAACAAAAAAAAAACAAAAAAATACAAAATAGTGACCCATCCAAAATGCTTTGTTTTTACACCAATAAAATAAACAAAATTTCAAAATGTGAAATTAATTAAACTTCTACATGTAGAAACAAAGCAGCAAAAATCCTAACATTTGAATCTCACCATGAATTCTTAGTTGCTTAAATGTTTAGTTGTCATTAACCTCTCTTGTATGTTGATTCTCTAGGTTCGATCGAAGATTTTTTATCAGGTTAGTATTTCTTAAACTCTACTTATATTTTAAGACTTACGGTTGATAAATTATTTGTTGGTAATATATTTTTTATATTTTTTAATATACTTTTTTATAAACTATTTAATAAAAATATCTAAACCATAATTCAAATATATTAAACCAATGAAGAAGATAAAC